CTCAGTTCAATTACACACTCCTCTGACTGCAGTTCAATTACTCATTACACTGTTGTCCCGTCACGTTGTGAACGTCTTATATATACAAGACTACACTATATCTAGAAAGATCACGAGATTTAAGGAAAAGACGTGAAAGTTCGAGAATGACGTGGCGTGATACTAGTCACGTGACCTCGATGTCGTAACAATATTTTTTTGAACAGGTACGACGTTTGAACACTGGATATGATTTTTTTTTCTTTACTAACCCTTCCTCATTTAAGGGGTATGTATATAATAACGGTTCAGATAAACATACAAGTGTAATACAGGAATAATAAACAGGATTACTTCAAAACAACAACAACAACAAAAAGAAAAAAATATCTGAACAAACCCTTAAAGCAGATAAGTAAAAAAATGTAGTAAATTCCACACACACAAAACAAACACCCCACACAAGAAACTCTTAAGTAAAATTTAGTACAAGGATGTAACCCTAAGAACCACGCTCCACCAACTTGCTCGCTGTAGCATACAAAAAATCAAAACCATCTAAGACACTTTTGTTGCGATCATTCTCAAGTTCTATTTATCATTTCTTATTCAGTTAACAATACAGTTAGTTTGTACTTAATGTGTCTCAGAAAATAATTTCTCAATATATAAATTTAGAAACATAATTAAGATTCAAAATTCCAACAGTTTCGTAGTAAGCCTGTAAAATATTATAATTTTGCTAGAATTAATTACGTTATGTAAATGTAGTATTTTAAACGCTGAAATACTATTTTTTAATTTGTTTTGTAGAGTTTTGGAATTGCATTTAGTTTCACATAATTCTATATAAAAAATAAGTATTTCAAATTAAAGATCGATATATAGCGCTTTAAGCGATTAATTGACTATACGACCAAGTGAGAGACTTCAAGGCTAGGTACTTTTCCTCTATTTTATAATTGGTGGCATAAGGAAGGACAACCAATTAGCATCACAAGCCGTCGACATGGCTACTCTTAATCGAACAGAGGGATTGATTGTCACTCTCCCAGGTACAAGAGCGTATTGTGTTCAGTTGACATTGTTTGTTATTAAGCGCTACGCTACACAAAGGGCTATTTGTGCTCTGCCCACCACTGGTTTCTAGCAGTATAAGTCTAGAGACATACCACTGTGCTACTGGGGGGATTTTGTGTTCAGCGGCATATCGTAAGTTCGAACGATTTATCTTCAGCTACTAAATTAAAACACACACACATATATACGCATCTCCCTTAACTGTATTATAATTTTAAGTACTTTAACAATTACTTCTTTGCAGTTAAAGTTTTATTCTTCTGTTCCTTATATCAGAAAAAGCCTTGTATAATTGAAAAATTCTTTACTTTTGTGGAAGTTTCAAAGCATCCAAGTTTGTTTACATGAAAGCTTTTTAACAATATCTGAACCAGATATTTTGCATAAGCATTGTATGATATAAATATCATAATATAATTCATTTTACTTGTTTGTCTTATTCATTACCTAAGAGATCAAAACTGAGCCTTACTTTTCACAGCTTCTTATATATTATGAACAATTTTAAGTGTCTTAAAATCATCAAAAATTTCCTATGTTAAAACTAACGCGTAACAAAGAATTAAAAGTTAAATAGAGGGGTATACTTGGTTAAAGAAACACAAGAAGATAAGTTAACTCTGAACATAACAGGAGATTCAAAAAAGAAGGTGAAGCTCATTAAAGTGTTAAAAAGTATTTTTTTTGCGTAAAAGAAATGACAGTAGTTACTCCGAGACTGTTCTGACGAAAGGATGACACTGCATGGGATTACGCAACTGTTATGTAATAGGCTAAGAATGCTGTCTAAGGGTTGCACAATTATTGCATAGCATGCCAATACCTAAGGGTTACATAACTGCTACATAATAGGCACCAGAGGACGCTGCTATCTTAGGGGAGGGTGACATCATAGTTCCACAAAGTGGAATCAGAGATCATGTTGCTAGAGTCAAAGTTCCACGAAGTGGGACCAGAGAGAATGTTAGTATGATGAGCGTGCAGTTAGTTCGCGAGCGAACCACCAGAGGGTGATGTAGATCAATAGATATCAATTTTATAGCAACGATCAAGGTCTTAAAATTAATAATTTAATCTAATTTACATAACATTATATTTAAAATGATCACTACTACAATTTTTTATCACAATTACAGTTTTGCTTTATAAGTAGAACATTAAATACATTTTACAAAGGCAAACGGAGTTTTTATAGGCGTATAATGTTACTAAGAGTAGTGACTGTATAGGCCGATGGTGTTACTAGGCAGATAATTCAATAGGATGAAGAGCTCATCGTAGGGTGTCTCAACATGTCATCAACATCTATATTTTATAAGTAAAACTACTATATTTTATTGATTATATTTATATTTATTGCGTATAACAATAAATGAGATCTTGACAAAACATTTCGTAGGGAAGTGTTAATATAGGCGGATGATGCTACTGTTGCGTCATCGAGGTCACGTGACTGGTGTGGCGTCACCTATTTTCTAGAACTATCCTATACCTTGGCGAATGCTCT